GGGGTGTATCAGGATCCACCACCACCTTCCAATTTTAAAAATTTCTATATAAATGTAACGAAAAACTGACCTTGGATACCCTCCCCCCTCACAGGAAACAAAGACCCCTCTCTTAATTAAGATGGTAAGGAGAGTAATGTAACTGAAAAAATTCATTAAATGTTGTTTCTCCCATCCTCCCACCCCCATTTTTCTGGGTCTGACATCTGTTAAAGTTGATATAGGAACCCTGAAGCCACCACCTGTAAAAACTTCCTGGATCTGCACCTGTCATGTCTTCCTCTCCAAGAGACAAAACCTGTTTCATGGCTACATTTCCCTTTCCTTATAATTTCACCCTTGAGGACAAGCCAGGCTTACTCCCTGCTGGACTTTTAGTGTCACTTCAAGAGAATTGCACAGCACCAACTATAAGACTGAGAAAAATGCTATGAATTTTAAGTCCCTTGAACACGAGACAGATAGTAACTCTCCATTTACACTAAAAACAATAAAAACCCTCCTTGACTGCCATACTTACATGGTTTGCCCTCTCCTATTTCCTCTCCGCTGAGGACACTTTCAAAAGACAACTTTGATTTAACAACCAAGTAGAAAGCAAATGCATGCAACTGACAAGCCCTTTCTCCCCAACTTTAAATTGGTCTCAAATAAACTACTTGATGCACTTAACAAACCTGAACAATGACCACAACTACAAGCTTGTCAAAAGATGTGGATGGGGTGGGATGAGCTTGCACCCCTTTTCATAAAAATTATCATATCAATTATATCAATAAATTCATTATGTATCTGTTTTAAGACAGACTGCCAAGGTTTCTTTAAAAATGTGAAAAAAGATTTCAAGAATGCTTAAGAACCCACTAATATAGTACCCATGGATAAAAACTATCTTGTTTAGTGGTATCCTCACCTCCTCTCCAGAAACCTGCCAGTGGCGATATGGCTCTGCCACCATCATCAAAGACACGCTTATAATTACAGGGTTTTAGAACGTTTTCAGCATGTTGACCGTATCAAAGACACTAAAACATCCATACTTCAACTCTTTCAATGGCTAACAAAAAAACAAAACAAAACAACCCAACTGCCTCTAACAGATTGGTAAATAAATCATGAAATCTATACAAGATTAGGCTAGATCTACCAAGTACCAAAAATGTTTCATTTCACATATACCAAACAGCCTTTTCACACATGAAGCATTTGTGAAACAAATCATTTCCAGCATTTTCATCAAATATTTTCTGTAGCCTTGGGCCAACTAAGTCAGGAATAACCTCACAACAGTTGACCAAGAACAAGATCATAATTTTTTTTTTTTCCAGTTTTCACAGACATGGAATAGTTGGAATACTGGTATGTCAATGATCTAGATCATACAAAAACATTCAAATCTTATCCTTGTCCTTCCACGATTGCAATATTGAAGTTTCACCCTACCTCTTGCATAAATGCAATAGATCTACAGAGCATTTTCTTCTCAAATTTAGAACTGCTCCTTTATATTTTCATGTCTTACAGGCATAACAAGTTGGAACTTAACAGATGAGGGAGAAAAATGCAATGGACCAGACCAGGATTTGAACCCTGGTCCCCTGAATTTCCAGTCAGGTGCTCTACCAACTGAGCTATCTGGCCTCTGATGATCAAATCAACCCAGACTCTTTTCTAGCAGGACTTTCACCTGTCACTTCAAGAGCATCGATGGCACAGCACCAAATGTAACAGATAAGGGAGACATACCAGGATTCAAACCTACTGAATCTCCATTCAGGTGCTCTACCAAGTCATCTGGCCAGTGACAATAGAACCCGTCTGAACACCACAAACATTGTACAAGTCACATCCCATCAATGAACACTAGAACCTCCCAAAACATGACATTCTAAATCATGGAATTTCCATTTTTACCCGTCAAATCAACAGCAATTCCACACACACTTAACTCATCCATAAGCATTCCAGAAATGAGGCTATTCCAAAAATTAAAACTATCAGGTTATCTTCAATTGCAAATGCTACATTGCCATCAAAATTCAAGTCAGAATTGCACAACTGCTCCAGAAAAGTACACCAATACATAAACATGATAAAGAACACAATTAACCACAACAACCATGAAAAAAACTGATGCATAGAAAAAAAGGACTTATAAACGTCCTTGGTACTCACATTTTTGGAGGACTGCTCCTCAGCTCAGCACCTTCTTCAAAATTCTTCCAGGTTTTTGTTTTAAACAGCTATTTACTAATATTTATTGTTATATGACTGGCAGCTAATCCTCTTTCCATTGAAGAAATAATTGCATATTTCATAATTTTCTTCTCAAAAAATAAATAAAATAAAATAATTAATTTTTTTTTTTTTAAATTACTGGCTTACTTCAGAGAGAATTTCTTTAATGTAGAGAATGAGCTGTCAAAATATGAAGAGCATGTCATTTGTAAGAGTTTTGCCCCTTTGACAAATGGCAAGTTCTGAATTCTTCCGCATTTTCCATCAAGTATATTTTTTCACTATTTCCCTTCATGTTTTATTTAATAGAATGTCCAAAAGTACACGTTTCCATGTTTTGTCTGAAGTTACATTCTAGTTTTTATTTTATGACCAGGTTTGTGTTAGTCACTTCATTTAAATTTGGGACTTAAGAAAATTTTGGGGCAATCAATTTTTTTTTTCACAATCAGCGTAGCACATCGAAATATATCAAGATTTATAGCAAGTGCTTCATTTTCAACATAATCTCAATTTTGAAATACGCAGAACTTCAGTTTTTGCACCCTAATTTTTTTTTAAAAACATATAAATTAAATAATAAATATCTAAAAAAAAAAATTATCTAATTTTGGGAAAAGAAATCCAGGGAGAAATTACACATGAAATTCTCCCCATGCATGAAAACAATAACGCCACTAATTAGAGGGTCCGAAGACCTCGATTAGTGGTCAAAACCCACCTTAATCTTCTACGTGGCCCCAGACCTGAGCTTCAGATACATAGCAGTGCAATCGTGATTGTCCATTTATCATTTATCTGCCATTATTCAACAATTACAACTTCCTTTAACCAGCAATCGAAAAAATCTCCAGAATGCACTATCACAATTCAATTCCACACAACACTGAATTAAACACAGATCAAAATCCTAGAGAGCTTTGTTTTTTTTGGTCCATGTTAAGTATTTCAGTCTTGTAGTCTTGAACATTTCCTACTTTAGCAATTGTCTCTTTTATCAGGGTTCCATGTGCCATAGCATTCCTCATTTTGACTACGCCTCTTCTTTCAGGTTTGCTTCAAATTTTAATCAACAAATAATACAATTTTCATCGCTAGCTATTGTGTCAACATAACAAAATTTCAAACATACTGATATTTCCAAACAAACTTACTGGAGTTGTAGTATGGCATCAATTTAAAAAAAGAATTAAAAAAAAAAACTTTACTTCCTATATTAATAATTTAGATATAAAGTGGAGATAACTCCTATAAAACTTGCCCTTGTCAGAGATGGACACAATAGCTTTACAAATGACATTAGTTTTTGCAGCAATTATGGTACATGTATAACATCAGTTAAGAAAAGATATATTGACACTATGAAGCAGTAATACAAATGACCATATTTAATCCAATGATTCAATCATCAGTTCCTCGTTCCTTAGGTTCCAACAAAAATGTAAGCAATATGGAAACTATCATTCCCCCCCCCCCCCCCCCAAATGAATTTTTAAAAAAATGTAAAAATCATTTAATGATTTTTGTGTGTGTGTGACTGTCTAAACAAGAATAGACCATGATATTATGAAGAAGAATTTTCAGACACTCACAGGGTACAATTTCAGAATTTACAACATCTTATCTATGATCATCATGTTTGATCCACAAGTAAATTTCAGCGTTTTATCCATGTAATTAATAATGAAATCAATTAACTTTTTTATTAATTGAAATATTTCAGTAAAAAAAAAAAAATCTTTAATATCTAAAATTGCCTAAAAATCTTTAACCCCCCCCCTTTTTTTTAAGAGAGTTCCAAGAGTCAAATTAAAAATATGTACAACCTGGAGGGAATGACTTGCTTATAGTAGGTCAAGGCATCAACTGAACTATTAGGTTTCATATCATAGCATCAGTTCCTTGATACTAGTCACAAAGATAGTGTCCCTAATCACATATACATATGCATGTATCTTGACAATAGATTACGTTTTTAAAATATATACATCTATAAATTTTGAATAACAAGCACAAAATTCATATTGAAATCAATAAATCTGATAAAGGAACAAGTTACAAGGTAATCAAGAAATTCCTCTAGCTAGGCAAGCTTTTATGCATTTTCAAGTCTTTCATTTATTAGAGAAAGATGTACAAAAATTAAGCTTATTACTCATTGTAATTTTTTTTTTTTTTTTTTTTTTTTTGCTTTTTAATGAGACCTATACTTTTAGTTAAGTAATACAGTTAAGTAATACTTACAATTTTACCAAATGAAAATTAACTCTCATAATTTGCCCATTGCTTGTTCTTTTATCAAATGTAATAAACATACTTGAATTCACAAATGAACAATATTACAACAGTAAACATCTTTTTATCCAAAACAAATTTCCAAAGCATGACAATTCTAAACAGGGATAATACAAAGCTCAAGTTGTACAAGGGAAAATTTCATGTCTGCACAAAAGGCATGTTTGTTTACTATTTGAGCAAGTTCTTAATCAATGCTACTTCAAATAAACATCAATTTTTCTCTTTAAATCAGAATAATTTCAATTTAAGTTTCTTTCTCTCTTTACCATTTATTCATTATTTTTAAATTTATTTTTTCCAAACAAAAAAGCTCACAATTTTCATAAATGTCAAGTTTTCAAAATATAGCTGTTTACTAAAAGAAGAGTCCAAGCAGAATCATTAAGAACTTAACTCTAGAAGCATATATACACCGAACCAAAATTATGCACATCCTCTCCTGAAAGAACAAGATGAGAAGAGCAAACAGGTTGAAATTTTATTTCAGTTCACACATGTACAATTCAGAGATTTTTTTTAGGTATAAATATGCCCTCTGCATTATATCTAACATATATTTTCGAGCTGTCTGAGTGTTCTCCACATGGACTTTGTAAGAACTGTTCTTGATGAACTATATTGCATACAACTTCACAATACCTTCATGAAGAAAACCACTTAAATAAAAACTCTTCCAACAACCCAAACACACACACCCTCTCTCTCTTACTCTCATGCAAACTGCAAAAAAAAATATTTATCTTTACACACTAAACAAAATACATTTTTAACTTCATTACAAGCTTAAATACATTCAAAAGCCATGGACCCCAACTTTCTACAAACACTTTATCTTAGTTGACTTTTATCCTTTGCCTTTTACAACTAGAGGTTGCTAAAATGTCTTTCATTGTCATTAATCAATAAGGTTAAAATATAGTAAATATAGTACTTCAGAGTGGACCAATTGGAAATCACAGAGAGAATATAACATATTTCGAGAGTAAACAAACACATGCAACTGTCTCAAAGCTCAGCATCCTCCACAATTTGTTTCCTTTAATACTAGCACCAAATATTATTCTCAAAGTGGGCTGTTCCTACTGCTGTACAAATCTTAATGTATCAGACTAATTCTAAAAAAAAAAAAACAAAAAACAAAGACCTAACCTTTTTTTCACCCCAACATCCACTTGACCCCAGAGGAAACAATATTTAAAATGAAGGAAAAAGTCCAACTATTTACCAACCTCCCCTTCCACCCCTAGAATGCCCACTGTGTCCCGAGGGGAGTGGGGGATAACCCCCTCTTGGATTTATAGGAGGATCCAAAGCAGGCTTTGCAGGCAGTGCTGAACTAGATGATTTATTCTTCAGTATACTCCTGGGTTGTTTAGGAACACCTTGAGCTGCTTCTGCATATGACTTAGGTGGTCTTCCTTCTCCAGGATACTGTCCGTAATAGCCCGCTCCACCAGATCCACCACTAGGGGGATTATACTGCGCACCGTAGCTGTCGCCACTAGAGGAGTAACCTCCCCTAGAACCTTCATCAGAGTAAATACTTCCACCAGCGTAGCTTCCAGATCTACTGTAGTCAGGTCTATCAGAATAGTAGCTAGGTTCTGGCTTACTGTATGTATCGGTGTGACTCACTCGGGTTTCAGATGCAGATATCTCTGTTCCTCCCAGGCTCACTCGCATTCCCTGCTGAGCCAACAGCTGAGCTAAGGCAGCTTTCACTCCTGCATTTTCACTCCCCATCCCTGAATTTGAGTCCTGACTGTACAAACTAGGATTACCCTCCACTGACCCACCCCCTTTGGCCCCCCCAAACATATTGCTTGAACTATGATTTCCATAATCTTGCCGGTATCCCTCAGAAGGATAAGGGATTTGGCTCACAGAGGTTTCTGGCTGACTTGGAGGTACTGCAGCTGCTTGATCTGTAGATAACTGTGCTGCAAGCATGAGTTGAGCATTAAGATTACTCATCAGTTGTTGAGTTTGTTCATCCAATGTCACATTCACACTCTTGGCCACATCAGGAACGGACATGCCTTTCTGAAGCAGTGATATCATCTGTGACAGCTGATTACTGACAGGGGCCACAACCTCCTTCACCTCATTTTCTCCTGTAGGTGGAGCCTCTATCTGCTGCTCTTGGGCAGCCACATCTAGTCCTGGAATCCCCGAGGCACCACCAACTTTGTCTTTTCTATTAAAGATCCCCACTGGAGTCTTGTTTGTGCTGTTAGCCCCTGTAGCTGAGGGTTTGGTCTTTGGTGGCAGTGTCCTGTCACTAGACAAGGCTCGCCTAACATCTTTTCCTTCAGTCTTTCCTATGCTGGAGTTTGAACCACTAGATGCCACTTTGGTGGTGCTGGATTGAGTTGAAGAAGAATCCTCTCCTCTCTTCTGTGCCTCTTTCATATGCTTTTTCCTATTTTTGCACCACATTTCATGACAGTCTTGATCTTTAGGTAGACTATTGGGAAGAAATGCATACTAATGAAATAAAATCGTCAACAAAATGTTATATAAATTCATTCTGTAAGAAGAAAAGATTTTTTTCTTTATCATGTATTTCTGAAACATGAAATTCTTACTTTTGGAAATGGTCAAATGGTCTATTCATAGCATCAAAAAACACATGTTTATGAACAAATTCTCACAAGTAAAATTATGAGCCAATTAAATTTTACAAAATTTGAAGCAATTTATTCAGCAATCTTACTCTGGAGGGGGTATTCTCATGGGATCCACCTCCCTCAGCCAGGGGCAAATAAGAGCCGCCTCAGCTGTGATTCTCTTGGATGGATCCAGTTCTAACATTTGGTCCATTAAATCCAAAGCTGTCTTTGGCAGGCTGCAAGAAAATAAACTTGTAAAGTCAAATATCTGAATTCATATACAAAAATTTATCAATATATATATATAATACTTAACTTGTTATCTTGTAATAAATAGCAGTCTAGTAACATGAACTTGAGTGTTTTGAAGAGTCAGATTTTTTTCATGAAATTTTTTTTATTATTGAACTGAACTGCTTACAAAGAAAATTCCTCTCTTAGCCGCCTTCTGTACTGTTTCTTGGGTTTGTATGTGTGGAACAGGGGCAGTTTAATGACATCTGGCCACACAGCAGGGCAGGGTGAGCCACAGGTCTTGCTGATAAGCTCCAATTGAGCAAACTCTTGACCTGCCTGGAATATTGGCTTCCTTGTAAACAACTCCCCTAAAATGCACCTGAAATTCACCAAACAGACATTCTAATGTAATGTTATGTCACTTTGCAACTTCCATGCAAAAAGTCCAACTTTAATCTATTTCAACAAGATACTTAAGTCTATTTCAACAAAATCCTTAAATCTGTTCACAGAAGCAAAAAAATTCTAACCGATTTCAATCGATTTCTGATTGAATCTTTAAGAAGTAATAAAGGTGTATATAATAACATTACCCAATACTCCATATATCTATGGCAGGTCCATATCTCTCCTCACCCAGTAAAAGTTCTGGGGGTCTGTACCACAGTGTGATCACTTTGTTTGTGTACAATCTGTCTTTATCATCCGCCTCATACAGACGAGCCAATCCCCAGTCTCCTAATTTAATCTGACCCCTGTAACAAAGCACATTTAGTTACGGCAATGTCTGCCTCCACTGGCAGATCGACAAAGATTTTCTACCTGCAGAAAACTTCCAAGAGAAGTGACATTCAAGAACTTACAAATAACGTAATTTTTTGTCAGAAAAGAATACAATGAAGGTTATGCATGCTGAATCACATTCATCACAGTTGAATGTCTTGAGAGGAAAAATAAATAATCACAAAAAATACATATGCAATAAATACAGACTCCAATATTCAGACAGACATACAGGCCTTAGGCCTATGACAATTTCCTGCAAGTAAGACTAAAAATGCATTCAAAAAGTGAAAATCATAAATACGAATGAATATTTTTGCACCACTGACTTACCTGTTATTCAGCAATATATTGGAGCATTTGATATCTCTGTGTAGGAAATTCTTTTTGTGGCAATAGTTCAATCCATCCAGGAGCTGTTTGGTGAAAGACGCCACATGTTCTTCTTTTAAATGGCACATTCCTGACTCGAGGAGTCCCATCAAGTCGTGATCCATGTACTCAAACACCAAATAAAATGCACCTGTGCAATTAAAAGCATACTTGTAGGACATCATGGAATTGGGGGGGGGGGGGGGGGGATTGAAATTGAATCATAACTATTACTGTAAACAGATTTTTGCTCTGATTTTATTTTCACACCTTCACTGACTATCTTTCAGTATTACAACATTCTACTAGTAGAGAAAGTAACATGCATGTCATTATTGTGTGATACTTAGCTTTCCTTACCTTTGTCCTTTTTAAAGTCTAAGGCATCCTGTTTATCTGTGACTATTTCTTTCAGGTTAACTATGTTGGGGTGATTAAGCTGCCGAAGGATTTTTATTTCACGTACAGCAGTGATGGGAAATCCCTCTTTTTCATTTTCCAGTCTTACTTTTTTCAAGGCTACCAATTCATCTACAAAAACAAAAGTAATGATACATTAGAGTGCAGGGAATTCCTTTCTCAACTTTAATAAAATCCTTCAAAACCTTTCTTAGTGAACAGGAATACATTGAGATAAGCTTTCAGTTGTCCACAAAATACTTGCTAGTTTTATATATATATATATATATATAATTTTTTTTTTTGCATACAGGCCCCCTGAACTTCAATTTTTAACTTGGATTTTTTTTTTTTATCAATTTATAGTTGCCAGAGGCAATCATCTTAGACAGTTATGTAGGAGTTACTCCTTTAATGGCAGCTTTGTCCAGTCATACTATAGGAACTTACCTGTGAAGGTGTCTTTAGCCTTGTACACCTGACCGTAAGTTCCCTCCCCAATGATTTCTATAATGTTAAACAAGTCGACACATCTCTCTCCCCAGTCACCTTTGACCCTCTCATCTAACCGTCTCTTCTGGCAAATCCTAAAATAGATATTCAAAGTTCTATGATATCTAACACATTGAAAATTACATAAAAATACAACTGTATGCTTTCAAACATTCTGAGGAACTAATAATTAAATTTAGAAGTTTTCTTTTATGATCTATCCTATATATTTATCAAATGAAGGAAGACAACATACGTAAACAAAATAACACTTATACCCTTATAATAAGGAAATCTACAAACAAGTAGAATATATGCTTTTATGTGTTAATGTAGCCACATGAATGTAAAAGTCCTAGTAGATTTACCAACTCAAACAAAATGTGTTTATGAAAAACTGATGCCTTTGTATGGTGGCTCATGGCTAAGATAAAAGTTAAGAAGTAGGTCAAATTCCAAAGCCAAGGTCACAATGTCAAAAATAAGTTTTTCAAAAGTAGGCCAAACTCTAATGTCAAGGTCACAAGGTCAAAAATAATATGGTACTCAAAGCTCATGTCAAAATGAATATACATGTGAAATATTAATGCCCTATCACCAAGTGTTCACAGGGATAGACATTAACTTTCATATTCACTTATCCTATGGGCAAGTGAACTCAAATTTTGACTTGTCTGAATGCAAAACTTGGTTGCCCAAACCTTAGAAAGAAGAAAATACGGGTAATTTAATTTATGTGTGATAAAGTACTTTCTATCGGCACGTTAACTGCCAAGAAAAAATGTTGATGTGTCGCTGATCCTACAATTGTAAATACTGTACATGTATACCACTGTCCTTTCATTTATCCTGAAAACTCGCACTGCCATGCAGCAGTATATATTTTCTTTAAAATAAAATTTACATCTTAAATATATATATTATTTTGATTTTTTTCTCTGGAAAACTGAGGCCACACTAAAGGAAAACAGTTGCCATGTTTTGAAACATACATATCCTGATCAGAATACATTGTGTGCAGAGAATAACTGGTGTTCTGTGAGTGAAAAAATAAACTATTCATGTTAAGAAACTATTCTTGATATGTTCTTGGCGGAAAGTGTTATTGTTTCGTTTAAAACTAATGCAAGATTTGGAAAAAAAAATGTTTCTATCGGAAATATTCACTTGCCCAATCGGACAAGTACATTGGCATTTTCACTTGCCCGAACTGGGAATTTACTTGCCCCGGGCAATTGGACAACCGTTAATGTCGATCCCTGGTTCAGAAGTATTTGCTAAGGTTAGAATTGGTTCATGTTTTACAAAAAAATAAGTCAAACTTGTAGGTCAAAGTCATAAGGTCAGAAATGTTGATACCCAAAGAAAGATCTTGTCACAAGGAATACACATGATAAATATGAAGTCTTAGCACCAACCATTCAAAAGTTGTGGGCAAAGTTAAAGTTTTTGTGAACAGACAGACCAAAACACTATGCCTCAAAATCTCTGATTATGGTGGCATAAAAACAGCACTAAGTTACGTCAGGGCAATTTACAAAACCTCAAGACCCCATTCTCCAATTCTTTCTTCAATCCATGTCATTTGTTTCAATCATTTACAATTGCTCAATATGTTTTCAAGAATATTATGTTTTCATATTAATACATATAAACCTCAGTCTGACATCATTTAAGAAAGGTCTTTGAGGTATACGAGGGTACAATTATGAACTTTTCACAAAGGCATATTTCATGATGTTAGAACTTAAGGGGAAAAGATGCCTATTTATGTTCATACACTCCTGACCTACTGTACTCAAAAATTGAGAGTAATTTTATTTACATCTCAAATTACATACACTTGTTGCCTACTTCCAGATCTAGAAAATTCAAGATAAAATTATCCATGATGAAAGAAGGCATTTATATTGCTGTTTGCTTGAGTGTATAAAACATGGAAGCTTTACCACCTCAAAAAACAGCAGAGAACAACTGGATGTATAGAATCCCACAATTCCATAGTACTTAGGTTTAACTTGCCCATATTAAGGTAAAAGAAAGACTGACAAACATGGCTAAACTCTGACAATGAACTCTAGATACTGTTAACGAGCTCACAAATGATACTCTCCACTGCCCATTCTTTTTTTTCAATTGTTCACACATTTCTCTTATATAAATTTATTGACTAGACACTAATTTTACATTTTTTAATGTCAGAAACCTTGAACTTGCAAAAAATGACCGTGTCAAGGTCATAACACACTCACAAAATAAGTAATCTTTGTGTCAAGTATGAATTTCCAATGCTTCTCAAGGAAGAAATAAATGGATCTAACACAAATTAAACACTTTTTCTGCTAGTGACCTTCAACTTGCCCAAATGGCCTCAGACTGAGGTCATAAAACACCCTTGTGTCGTATGCAATCTTTCTGTCAAATACTAGCTTCCAATGTTTTTCCATTACAAGATATGGCTAAGTTAGGAAATTAACATTTCTCTGCCAGATATCTTCAACTTGCCCAAATACTCAAATCATAAGTAATCTATCATGAAGTAGGAAAGTTCTACCAATGTCTCTCCATTAGAATCTTATGGACCAGACAAAAATAAATACTTTTTCTTATCATTGACCTTTAACTTGCCTTAAAGATGTTTGGTCAAGGTCAAGACACCCTTGAGTCATAAGCATCATCTTTCAAAGTTGCTCAATTTAAAAGATATGGCCAGGACAGGTGATGAATGTTTTTCTGCCAGTGATCTTTCCTAAATGACCTTGTCAGTGTTTCTGCCAACTTTGAAAATCAAGGGTTATTTTACTCTTTGAAATAAATTTTGGGAGTCAAGAGAATGTTAGACAGTTAAAATGAATTCTGGTTTTGCTTGCATCTTAATTTTATGTTTATAAATAATATTAAAAAATTAAATGTGTTTGTTGTTTATTGACACATTTTACCGATTCTGTCAATGGAGGATACATCTTTACAAAGCCAACTTCTGCAAATTGCTGAATCTTTTGCAAAACTATTAGTCGACTACTTGGGCGTTATTGATCCAAAGTTTTGAAAACATCTCCAGTCTTACTGATAAAGCCAAACTGAAGTATGCAAACATGACAAATTTTCTTTGGATTTCCGGTTTTGTTTTGAATTGGTCAGAAAATTTTGAAAGCTTGAATTTTTTTTTTAGTTATTTTGACACCAAATTTTTTTGGAAGTGGGTATTTATATATTTTTATGTGTATTTTACGCCTATTTATGCATTAATGGAAATACTGAAAGTTATGAAATGGACATAGATTATACATTTTTTCTACCGATGTTCTTGAGCATGCCAAAATTACCTTGGTGTAAGGTAATGTCATAACCCCACTCACAACTCTGTGTTAGAAACAAGTTTCAAACATTTTTGACTTCTGTTATTTGATAATCTTATGTAATAAAATCTGGCATTTTAGGTTGAAATGAAATAAAAACATGCTGTTCAACCCAGAAAGACCAGCGGGGGTACAATGTAAACATACAGATTTCTCTCTTATCGTGTATATTTTTTGTATGGAATGGCTATTTAAGGGTCTTCGCTATATTTTTCATATATGGTAAACATGATATATATACAAGTGTGATTAATATAATTTAACTAGCTGACTGTACAAGTCCTGTGGTTGTATATCAGGGAGAGGGGGGACTCTTTCCACAAGTACCTGTGTTCAGGACCTACTAAGCATTCTGATCTCCCAAAAGTCTTGAACTTTTTACCACTGTTTACGTATAGCCCAATGCCAGACCCAGAAAATTCAAAGAAAACTCCCTGGCGTGATAGAAGGCATTTTATCTAGCTGTTCTACTTAAGTGCATAAACCCAAACTGAATTCAACACCTCACAAACAGCATACTCTAGGTTAAGATTTAAAAGGACACTGAAATCTGTTCATTAACAAGGAAAAAAATTCACAAATATAGCAATTGTTCCCTCATCCTTTCCTACCTAACTTGTGTTAAGACAAAATGAGATGAACCTAGATTACCAAAATGATCATCTGGTGACCTTTGACCAATTAATTAGAGAAAAATTATGCCCTGTTCACACAAATGCGCATTACATATTGAATTCGCAGTACAATAGTGCGAAGTAAAATACAATTTACACTAATGCGCATTACATTGCGTTCACACAACAGTTAATTTGAAGTAAACTAATTTACATTAAAATTTTATTTCTACAGAAAGGCTACTCCGTAGGGCAATTATGACATCACTATCAGATACCGTCACCTTATGCAGAGCAGATCCATTTGACATAATGTTATAGTGTCTGTACATATTTTTGGAGATCAACATATTTTTTCTTTGTTTTTCACTCAAAAATAGCATAAACACCTGTATCTGACCATTGACATGTGGCATGTGACTTAATTAAGCCATTACACATGCGCCAGAATTAAATTCGAATTAGCTTTGCTAAGCGTTCACACAGAGCTAGTGATGGAAAATCGGTATCATAATCAATTATCAGTAATAATAAGCTGCACATAATCGATTAATAATTGTTTATAATTGAATTTTTAACTTTAAATGATTTAATAAAAAAAATTAAAATTATTCAGATTTAAGTTCAGATTTTCACTAAAAAAATCCTTTAATAAATTATATTCATAAATGTTTATTAATTTTTTTTCTTTTGATAAAGTGGAAAATAGCACCGGAAATAGTCATGTAAAGTCAAAATAAACATACAGCCCATTCCTCGAGCAAATTCTTACCCCTGTTTTCATCTGCCTCTCATCAATATATTTTGAAATATATATGTTTTAGGATTTCTTTACCTTTCTTAAAAAAAGTATATTGAATGAGAATTTACTTCAAAAAAATTCTCATTAAAAATACTGAATAAGCTGTTACTGAAAATCTGCTGATATTAGTCCCATCTTGCATTACATTTTTTTTATTTCTTGGAATTACAAGTTTAAATTGTAGTTATCCAGAATTTGGACTTGTATCATTGATTGTAATTACGTTTACAGATTGTCTGGACTACTAATGTTTTCCTGTATATATTAAAACCTCTTTATATTGTCCGTTTTTCTGTTATTAGTCTGACCCTATATTCAATCATGGCGGTAAAAATATCAACATGGCATAGATACGTTCAACATTTTAAACATTCATCACTACTTTAAAACTCTATTCATATGGATTTGGTAATAAAATTAAAGTATTACGATTTTATTTTTGTCAGTGATGTCGGCGACATTTATTTTGTAATCAATTAGTAGCACCAAAGAGCTCCTAACGACTGACAGTTGATCATCGGCGATAATCAGCCCAGCACTACACAGAGCTAATGTGATGTAATTTGATGCGCAATAAATTAATTCAATTTAAATTAATTCACATTAAATTCTCCGTGTGAAAGCAGTTCAAATTTAATTCGCAGTAACTTAAGTTTTATTCAAGTTACACTCTCCTCTCTTACCATAATTTTAGTGCATTTCAAGACTTGTAGTTGTACAGGCATTGTGAAATCTTGTTGTGGGTCATTTTTAATTGGGCATGTTGGACAATGTTTTCATTCTGTTGCCCAGATGATAAAGTCAAAATGGAAGGAATGTTTATCCTGAAGTAAATCTATTTCCTAGATCATAAGATGTAAGCAGGAGATGTGGGTAAAATCTATGTAAATTAATGCGAGTTAAAGTAGCAGACTCTTTTATAAAGTTCCCAAATTCTTTATGATGTCCATGAACATCCACATTTCTTTTAAAATTTAGAATTTTAATTTTTAATTCATTTCTTTAATTTTAGGGAAAAAGGTATTTTGTAAATTACACCTTCTTGTGAAAGATCATAGATGCCTATTAATATGAGCTTTTTAATAAAGAAAATTGTTTAGAAACCAATTTCTTGTGGAAAAAATTGTTTATAAGCCTATTCGCTTTTAAAGTGTAGCTTATTTTGCACTTTATACTCTAGTTATTAAAGATTAGAGGCAGACTTCTTATAATGTCCTCACCATTGAATTTGGTCATTATTACCGTATATAGACTGGCCTGAACACTTTAAAGATGAAGGTCAAATGTGGTCAATCCATTGTGTCAGTTAAAGGTCAAAACTACAGGTCAAATTGCAACCATCAGTTGTACTCAACTGAAATGTGCTTCAAACATTTTCTCTAGTCTATTTTAGCCTTCTTACTTTGGCTTTTTAACTTTGGGGGTGGACTGGTGAACTTGCTCTCGTTTAGGAGGCAGTTCTGGCTCTGGTTCGTATTCTGGCTCTGGTTCATCAATCATGGGCGGCATAGGCAGGTCTGTGATCCGCTTCCTGTGAGGCTCCTGTTTTCTATAAATAAAAAGAAAAATTTTAAAAATTGTCACCTGATCCGCTTGCAAAGAAGTTCAATTTCTTGAATTATATTTTTTTAACAAAGGCACCACCTACATCAAAATGAATTCTGATAAAATCATTTTTTGCACAAAATGTAGAAAGTACAAAGGCTTTAAAGGATTACATGTCACTGAATATAAAATAACGGAAAAAACTGTCAAGGTGTGAGGACTATCAAACTTGACAGAATTCTACCTGTATGGACTGTTAGTCCCCAAACTATCTACAGGAGATAAGCGGGGGAGAGGTAAATTTGGGGGTGGTCTATGGGTGGGCGGTAGCTCTAGTTCAGGTCTTTGTTCTCTGTAATCTGGTCTCCGTTCCTCCATTTTACGTAGATCATCTCGATGGTAAGGGATATTTGGAGGTTCCCTGATTTCTTCCCTTCTAGGTTCCATTCTTCTTGGCTCCATATCTCTAGAACTCAATTCCCTGACTTCCCTTTCCTCTCGTTTCATTTCCGACTTCATAATTTCATCTGGACCCCTGCTTCTTTTTGAATTGGAATACCCAGGAGACCTTGGTAAATAATCATTTTTACTGGAAGTAACAGAATTTCTATCAGATTTGTCCTTGTCAGAGGAATGATTTTTATTGCTGGGTCGGGTTTCTTTTGAATCGCGACCTTTGGCGGCAAGGAGGGCTGCTTCCTTAGCCTCCCTGGCCCGTCTGTGTTTTGAAAGCTCTGCGGCAAGAGTGTTTGTAGCATATTTGGAATGCGTTAGTTTTGTACTTGAGCTTCTAGAAGGACTCCTGGATGAAGATCGTCTTTGACGACTGGAGTTGGAGTACTTCCCTCTGGATGGAGATCTACTAGATCGCCGTGAACGATTACGAGGACTTGGAGATCTACTTCGAGAAGATCGACGAACATACTTCTCAGGGTATCTTGAACTGAAATGATAAAAATAAAGGTTTCCAAATTCACATTTAAACAAACTGAAAGATTTATGCTGCCAAATATTTTAAGGTTGCTCAAGTTTATATCACGTGTTACTTCCTGGAACATAAAATGAATGAAAAAATATAAATCAGTAATGTTTTTAAAGCCGTATGACCCTCTGCTAAGACAGACAACTCCATCTTCTGCTCAATGGATGATAGTTCTTGAAATTGATAATCATTATGTTTATATTATAGAATTTTCATCTCCTTTACAAGCAGATTTTTGCCAAATAAAGTATTCTTAACTTGTATTTCAATTTTAAATCCATCTTCAATTTACAAAATTGTCACATTTACAAAAAAATCTAACATAATCTCAAGTCATGTATTTGGATCACTGTGGTTTGCATCACAAGATTGTAATGATTTGGACTACCTGTTATTTTTTGATTTCCTGCTGTATGGACTAGGTGACCTTGACCTGTATCGCTTCCTTGGACTTCCCACTGGGCTTATATCTCGATGATCTCTGTAAGCTTTGGGAGGATGTGCATATGCTCGAGGGGGCTCAGCATAATGTTTCACTGATTCTCGATGCATCTGTTCAGGAGAATAAGGTCTCTTTTTCGTTTTCCTGGAGGAATAAGATTGTGGAGGACTGTCCCTGATAACAATCGGAGAATTACTTCGACTCCTGTCATATTTGTACCTTCGTAGTTCAGTGGCAGGTGAAATTTCATGGAGATCTCTTGAACGAGACGATTGCATGGGGGCAGGAGGCGTAGCGTTAATTTCAGAATCTGAACTAATGTCATCATAATCCACAATTGGCTTCCCACGTGTCTGGTCATTCACAACATCTCTCTCCTTAGAACGTTCTTTTCGTTTTGATTTCTTTTGTTTTACTTTCTTTTTCCTACCTCCATCTCTCGAATCTCTGGACGGCTCGCGTTCGGTTGACCTGTAATCGTTTCCACCCACATGTCGATAAGATCTTGCATCGTACTCCCCGAAATATGCAGACCCAGCTGGTGGAGGCTTGCGGGGCATTTTGTCACTACCTACTCCAATATATTATTTTTCTACACGCGGCAGTCCATTGTTGCACTTTCGAGTTACCTCCACTTGAATCCAAAGCCACTTCCTTATTTAGCAAAATCGGACGATATTTTCTTTACCTCTTCTTATTCTTGTATAAGAAATCACAGAAATCCATTAAAACACAACATCCACTTCCAAATAGTATTGTGCGTGTGAAAGACAGATGATTTTTTTTCGTCGAATATGGCGACGTAGATCTTGTCGTTAGCAATTTTGTATCTTTACATCTTTTGCGATATTGTAGCTAACTATGAGAAATTTCTTAAAAATTTCGCCACGAATCGCTTTATTATGTTCAATTTTAACTTAAAACTTTCTTTCAGTAAAGTGATGGTTTAATTTTACTAAGATATTTTCTGATTTTTTTAACGGAGAATTTTAGATGCTCTCCTACAGATCTACTAAAATATGCCGCAATGCATTCTGGGTTAGACACACAATATTGATGACGTAGTACTCACGGAAGTATACCATTGCAAGCACTGACAGTCTAGCAAGGAGAACTGACTGCACTTTATGTTGATGTAAAGATGTTAACCGTATGAAATGCATATACAAAATAATTTCCTAGAAAGTATTTCCTCTGCTATGACTTCGAAAATACACAGGCTCTCCAGAAGTAATTTACAAATCGTCAACAAGGTTTGACAGGTATCAACAAGGTTTGACAGGTATAAATTATTAAGTATGTTTTATATGTTATTTGATTGCTTGTTTGCTCTTTACTGGTAAAATTATATTATATAAATATTATATTATTGCAAAATTATTTATTTGAGATGTCCCGGTCAAAGCGCCCCCTGATTTTGGTCAAAGCGTCCCCTGATTTTGGTCAAAGTGCCCCATAAAGAAATTTTACAGAAAAATGATGTTAACAAACCGCTTCCAAATATTGGTCAATGCGCCCCAGCTGATTTTGGTCAAAGCGCCCGTAAAGCAATTTTACAGTAAAATGATGTTACAAAACTACCCCCAAATATTGGTCAAACAGGTTGGGCACAGTTCTTTTTTTCGGGGAAGTATCACTATAAAACAGGATTATTCCTCTTTCCAGTAATAAAAAACATTACTGTATACGGGAATTTCGTCATATTTTTAAAATAATGCCCCAAATCCGTTTATTAAATAAAGAGTGCATGAAAAATACGATGTGATGTGTTTAAACTTTATTAAACCAACCTCGCAGACAAAAAATTTCGGTCCTTTAGTGCTGCAGATGGGAGTAATATGAGATTTAATCGTACGGCATCATGAGTATTCTTCAAACGAATGTGAATATTTCCCTTATAAATTATATTATTTGTTCAAAAATGGAAAATTTCATAGCTTGGTTTCGTTCAGGTGACATCTTTTGAACATGCATAGTAATTTAAACTCATGTGCAGCAGTAATCCACGACTTTTACTTAAATTTTCCCTGTTGATAAATGATACGAAAAGTATGGAATCTTATAAGGGCATTCATGCTAAAACCATCTTTGAAAGACTAATGTTTTAAAATTTGATATTTCAAATAATTATTTTCATCTGTAAAAGAAGCAGTGGTGTAAAAAATTATATTTACAATGTCTTTGAAAGAAATGATATAAAATTAAATTAAATAACGAATAATTTCATGTAGAGTTATCAAGTGCTGAACGTATTCAATCTCACAATTTTAACACAGATAAGCTTCCGTAAGAAATTTATATTGTAGAAATATTTCATCACTCTTTTTCAGCATTTTGCAGCGATAAATATTGTAGTTTTGAGCATACATACCCTTAATAGACTATAAATATTTAGAGGATGTGAAAATATTCTTGCACTTAATCTTTTATTCAAAGCAAACACGAGAATATAGGGTAAACGAGTGAAAATTCCCATATACAGTAATGTTTTTATTACTGAAAAGAGGAAAAATCCTGTTTTATAGTAATACTTCCCCGAAAAAGGAACTGTGCCCAACCTGTCAAAGCGCCCCATGATTTTGGTCAAAATCTTTTTTGACCAAAATCATGGGACACTTTGACCGGGACGGTTTTGTTGGCGGGGAGGGGGGGGGGGGCACTGACTGGCTCCCCTTCACAGTTCCACAAAGTAATTTGGAAAAATCTTGACCGAACTTCCTTGAGATTAGGCCAATGAGCAGTGAGGGATCTGTATCATTTTAAGGTCTCATCCAAAAGAACCGCAACTTTTACATCAAAGTACCCAAGCACCTTGATAAGGAACAGTTACTATCTGTTTTTATTGATTTAAGTTTATCATGACCAGGCCCCAAGACCATAAACTGAGAACAGACTTAAGTCAAAATTTCAAACCAATATAACTTTTGAAATAATTTTGATATTGAAACAAAATTTTCATCATATATTTGAATTTGAATGTTATATAAAATTGCAAATTTTTAAGCAAATACGTAAAATAAAATTCAAGATATTAAAAATCAAAATTTTGACTTAAGTCTATTCTCAGTTTATGGTCTTGAGGCCAGGTGCGGGGCTTGAACCCACTACCTGCCAATCACAGAAAAAGCGCTCTACTGACTAATGTACCACACTTATGGCTACCGGTAGTTGTTTTTTTTTCCATATATTTAAACTGGTAATATGTATAATAGTATCAATCAAGGTAGAGTTTAAGGTCAAAATTATGATGCTGGAGACATGTCAGAGTTTACTTAATTATATGTGAACAGGATCTATTCACTTAGTAATGCATGCAGTAAATCTACTTGAACCTGATTCTCGACTAATGAATTGTGAACCTTTATTGATATTCTTCAGCTTTACGGAATCAATTTATACTTCTCGACAGGCACAATTCGTTATGTTGAAATGAATTCTTTAATAATATTATGTATACATGATGTATTATTTATCTGTATTGACTCCATACTTGCCAACCTTCAACATGTAAAAATCTGATCAGGGACCAGATTTGGAAAGTAAAAAATCTGGTCATTATAAACGAGTAATGACATTCATGTCATAATTACCATGATTAAATTATATATATAATATATATATATATAAGTATTTTTGTATTGAGAATTCTTTTATTAAAAAAGGCTTTAACTTAATACAGTGACAAAAAAATTAAGGAACAACTTTACTTTACCGGTCCTCAGAAAGTCAATTTGGGTCAGTCCACCCAGCTGAAACATATTGTGCGATGGGTTCGGTCTAAATATGCTGGTCAAGTGGGTAACCTATGATGGACTGGTGTCCCTTTTAGGGGGAGTCAATTACTCTCATCCACTTAGCACCACAAAAAAACCTGGTATAAGCACTGGCCTTATACACCACATTGCTCAGAGAAGGATTTAACCTTGACTAACAGATACCAAACTTAAGAATTTATGACTCCTGACTCTCCTAGATTACAAATGTTTTTATTGATATTCTACATGTTGCTAAAAAGTATTACTTCAAACTTTTCATTTGGCATGTTAAAATAAATTCATTACATAAATATACCAAAGATGTTGTAATTAGGAGACAACTTGTTGGGATTGGGGTGGGCCAGTGTGTTGCACATTCTTAAGCACATACATTCACACATGGAGGTTTCTAAGGTTCAAAATCTTTTTGATATAAAGTGGCTAATGAATTCAAATGAGATTATTTTGTACAAATTTTACTTCTAATAGATTGTATTTCTTTTATTTTCTTACTTAAATCTTTGCAGACTAATCCAGGATTGATCCTCGATCTCTATCAATGACACCTGCCATCAGTTGCATACTGTATATCCGGGTTTTTTTTTTCTGTGTGTTTGAAATTTTGTGAAAGAAAGGGCAGATTTGCACAGTTTTTATTTTTGCGAAAGTTTTTTTTTACGATTTAAAAAAAAAAAATGAAAAATGGTAATGTTTTTATGGCACACAATTCTTTGTGTTTTATTTTTTTGCGAATTAAAAATGATTGCAAAAATTTGAAAAATAGATCATCGCGAAAAAACTAGCACCTATTACAAACAACCAAATTTTGATGGCCATGGCCTGCATGTTACTTTTGCCCTTTATTGTCAATGTTCACATGAATTACCGGTATGGTACATTGTACTAGCCTGTTTGAGAATTTTTGGGGACTCAGACAAATTTTTTTAGATCAATGTGCAGATTCAAGTTTGATTTTTCTCTCTATGAATTATATGTAGTATTTTAGCTGCTCCCTGCCCATACATATAATATAATAGTTTTTTTTTTTTTTTTAATTTGCATATCTGATTCAACATTTTAACATTTATATGCTTTAAATGAAATCCAAAGTATATAAACATGTGCTTTTAGTTTTTATTTACTTTTTTTTAAATTTATATTTTATATGTGTCTTTATATTTTGTAATACATGTACTTTCATTCCATCGACTCAATATTATGATAGAAATCATCCTAGATCTGCAAGTCAGTGGAATATGAAATGGGTAGCTTCAGATAACTTCTTGTTCACTGTAAACCTTGTAGTGAGTTGATCATGTTGATAGTGTATTGATGGATAGATGCAAGAAATATTTCCAAGGAGAGACTTTGGAAGTGACTTGGGTCTCTTGGAGAAATGAAAAATTTTGGAAAGATCTGGGAAGTTGAACCTTTTTAAGACATGATTCAAATAAACAAAGCAATGAAGAACAAGGATCTCTGCTTTTGCACAGAGTGCATGGGGGATACTGGCTACAGAAGGAAAGTTCAAATTCTTGATAAAAAAAAACTAAAAAAAGCAAGACTTAAAACCAGGTAGGAGCTATCAGGGGCTTTGCCCCTGAGTCCCCACCAATTATGGCTTTGCTGACCCCACCCTCTTCAAGAATCCTGGATCCACTACTGTGTGAGATAATTAAGGCTCACTAACCCTCTGATAAGAGAGATAACTCTCACTGGAATTGAAAAAAAAATTTCCTTTATAAAATTATCCGAAAGTCAAATTTTGGACCATATTAATGTATGCTAATTTGTGTGCAATTTAAATATGAATTATTTAGATTTCTTTTGGAAAATCATAAGATTTAATAAAAGCACGAAATTTTATATGAGAGAGCAGAGCCTGAATGATGATGAAATGTATTCCATAGAAGGGAATAACTATTATGACTTAGATTGAACTGGTCATCTCTGACATCCACTTGGTTGAGGCAAAAAAAAAAACAAACAAACAAACAATTTTATAGATCTATGTATAAAGTGATTATTAGAGCCCCGCAAGGATTTCGGGTGCCTTATAGTAATCACTCTGTCTGCCTGTCCGTCTGTCTGTCTGTCCGTCTGTCATTCTTCCGTCCACAAATTTTCTGTTTTTTTCTAATAACTTTTTTTAGGGTTGACCAATTAAATTCAAATTTGGTTTGTTGGTTGAATAGGCAAAAGGACATATTTTGATGCTAAGTTTTGGTCTCTATGTCATCTGGTTTGGAGCTGGGGTGGTGGGGTAAATTCCTTAACTTTATATAAGAGTGAATGGGCAAAGAGAGATAACTGCTGAGAATGCTCCTATTGTAAACTGTGAAAGGCTGCAATGAGTCTCTTGGGATTAATTAACTTTCCTCTCCAAGAAAATCCAAAGCATTATCTTTATCTGCCATATTGAGATTAATTAACACCTCTGTCTGCAAATGAAGTTTGTTTTGAAGTTAAGGTCAATTTTGAATGATGTTTACGTTCTCTGAAATGTGGATTTAAATAATGTTCATACTTTATTTTCGTAAAATACACAATGAGTTATGATTTATTGAATTCTAAAAACAAGATATACATGTAGATAAAGATATCTTTTTTATTATGATTTTATTTTTTTTCTTTTTTGTTTTCTTTTTTTCTGCCTTATGTAATGATTTTATTGAATTCTAAAAACAAGATATACATGTAGATAAAGATATCTTTTTTATTATGATTTTATTTTTTTTCTTTTTTGTTTTTTTTTCTGTCTTATGTAAAGTCAAGAATACTATTTATTTTAGCAGGTATTCAAATAATAACCTCATTCTATCACTGCTGAAAAAGTTCTTATTGTAAACTTAGAAGAAAAGGTTTAGAGAGCAGTATAATTAATCCCCTGGGATTGATTATCTTGCTGGTTTGCAGAAAATTTTATAGGGTTATCTTTCTGTCACTTTAAGATTAATTAACACCTTTGTCTGCAACTGATATTTGTTTTGAAGTTAAGGTCAAGCCTGGGTGATATTTACATTCACTGAAGGCTGGCATTTTAGAAAACACATGCTTCATTCTTCTTTAAATATACATTTAATTTAGTTATTATAGATATGATGTTTTTTTTACTGCCTTATGTAAATACAAGGATACTTTTTACAGGTTATTGGATGTTTAGCAGTTGCTGTTGCTTATTCTATATATATATATATATATTTAAAGTTTTATTTGTCATCAAGTAAAATTTTCATCCCCTAATCTGCACCCTTATATTTCTACCCCTCGGCGGGGCCCTTGCTGACTCGTCAGATTTTTAGTTTTTTTAATGAACAAAATGATACATGCATATTTTTCATCCAAGAAATCATTAAATGTGCCAGTCTCTGCCTGAGAAGGTAATATCTAAACTATTGATTACCAGCTTTTACCGAATCCAATATCAGAAAGATTATGGAGAAAGTAGGTAATAGGATATGAAGGCACGGCATGAGACTTGCAGTTCATGCAGATTAAATAGCATAAAAGAGCAGCACAATGCTAGCTATCTTTTAAGATACACAGGCAAGCTTGAACATCTTATCAAAAAGGAGAAATTTATAATCCTTGACAGGTGAGGAATGTGTAGGGCATGCTTAATTTAAAATAAAATTATGGGGTAGATTTTTTTTTTTTTGAAGGACTGGCATTGTATTCATGGACATGCAAGTTAAGTGTCTTTATTGTATGCGATATATTTTTGTATTAATGTAGAAATTTAAAATTTTAGGGAGAAAAAAAATATTTCCACAAGTGCATTTCCTATGAGTAATTTATGCATTAAAAGAAAAATGATCCTTTGCAACCCTATTTAATGTGTAAAATATTGATATGTGAGAGGGTTACCACATACATTTTCTTCTTTCCTATTAAATAATTTGGTGCTGTATGTTGTCCACCCCTGGACTTGCAGATGAAAGTCCTGCAAGGGGCAAATAAGAACTTGGGATGTATTTGAGGGTACAAAAATTTTAGGAAGGAGGAATGTATTAATTTGGACCGTGGATATCGGCCTGGATAGTGCAGTTGGTAGAACGCCTAGTAATGCAGGGGTTCACTCCAGGATTCGATTCCTGGTCCAGTCATGTATTTTCTCCTTTCCTTTAACACATGTATGGCATAACTGTAAAATTGTGTTGATGATTCATGACTTCACTATGAAATTAAGGTCATGTGATGAACTGGATCCATGCAGTGATAGATTCACACTGTTTTTTGCAAATGAAACATTGCCTAATTGGCATTTAAAAGCAGAATTTTTTTTTTCAATGTCTTATATATACTGTAATAAATTGACATTTAATTGTAACTCCTCCTATCAAGCATATGAATTTTCATGTACATTGTATTCAATTTGACATTTGAGAGATGAACCACTTAAGAATTGTGCAATTGTTACAAATTTTGAAATTTAAATACTCTTTTTTTTACATTTAAATAATATTTTCTTAAAGGACATTCTACAATAAGAAGTGAACAGCACAGAGATTATCACAGTTAATTCAGCAAGGCGATGAAGGTCTCAGCCAGGAGCTTAGTGCAGGCCCTTATAAATGCCTCAGAGAAGGGGGCCCGCATTGCTCGGGTCATCAGAGCCGAATCCGCTCTCTTAGAATTACTGGTGCAGGAGAAGAAAGGGGACCAGAAAAACTACCGCTTTGTTCAAGATTTCAAAACACTGGCAGATGTTCTGGTTCAGGAGACAGTCAGGCATGATTTGAGTGAACAGGTACGTAGAGTCTTACTGTTTATGTAGACAGAAGTATAGCTGGGTTACAGTATTACATAAGATTTTGTCGTTTTAATTTACATTAAACTGTGTGACCATGTGCTATAATTTTTAGGTTATCAAAGATTTGCTACAGTTAGTATATTCTCTATTGAGAAGTTGATGGCTCGTTTTAATACTCCCCCTCAAGGGTTGTAGAGAAATGCCTTCTTGAGGGGGAGTATTAAAATGAGCCATCAACTTCTCAATAGAGAATACGTACAGTTAGTAAAATGTTCTCTGAAATACAATCTTGAAGATGCTGATTGTGGCTGAATGTCAATACTTCTTTTGTTTATTTGGTGTAACCAGTCTATTTCAGAATTATATTTGGATTCAAAAATACATGACTATTGATGATACTTTTCAATATTCTCTCTTTGCCGTGTCAGATTTAAAAAAAAAAAAAAAAACAGAAACAATACAGTGTTTGTGATGCAGTTGTTCCCCTTGACACAATAAATGAAATAAGTGAAATAGTAAATATATTTCAGGTAGAGTGTTCCAAGGAATGCTTTATAGCATCATCAAAAATATTAAAAAATATGCTGCATATTGGCACCATGAATTATTTTGAAAAGGAGGTCAAAGATCAACTTCAAGGGTCACAAGATCAGTAACAATGCAATTTTACAAAAGCCATAAAGCCAAGAAATATATGTGCAAAATATCAAATCCATGCATCTTACAGTTCTCAAGATAGACAGATAGATAGACAGATTCTGGGTAAAGTGATACATAATTGTCACTGTGCTCTGCAGGCGACACAAAATTTGTTATGAAACTGATGTTGGTATAGTTTGTAATGTGAAATCGGTGCAGAATGATACTCTTTGATAATAGTTTTAAAGAAATATTAGTAAGAAAGTACTCATTTGAAATAAATGTGCCGTGTTTTTCACCTTCATGCCCCTTGGTGGTCTACCGGTGAAAGAAAATGCACCAACAGTGATGTGTAAGTTATTGATATACAGTTTGTTAGATGTGCTTACACAATCTCCTTCATACAGAGTTGTCCACTATGACAAACTACCCACAGTTACCATTCATGATTGCTATCAAATTATTGATAAAATGTTGTGCTTCTTAAGTAAGCTCTACACACTAATGATTTTTATTGGAGAAAATTGTGTCATATAAAGGTGTACATTATAATAATTTTAAGTTTATCCAGTTCATTTCATCATACTAGTATATTTGCCATATTTTTTCAGGAAAAATAATCAAAGACATTGAAGCATTAGAAATAGAAGTAACAATTGTTTACTTACATTGGGACACATGCAAATACTGTTTTAATTATGATATTTTGGTATTATATAATGTTAAAGAATACCTTTATTCCTGCACTTATATATCAAAGGGCAGATCACTCTTTATTGTACTGCATAAAACTACAGTATTATTAAACTCTTCCTTAAGGAAACTCTACACACTGCACACTAAAGAGTACTATTTGTAGGGTAGTTTTATTGAGTTAGAGTGATCTGCCCTTAGAAGAAAAATAGAATAAATGGGAATCTACAGTTAATGTCACAATTTGTTGCGAATTAAAGTATTCTTAATGTTATGTTAGACCAAGATTAAGTAATTGAATACATTATTTCCATTCATTTCCCGATGCAATAAACAACAGTGATTTCTGTTCACAGATAGTTCATTGTCTTTGAACTTTTTTATGCAGAAATAGGGCAGGTACCCAGTGTTGTAAATGAACTAGATACACTGAATATGTGCACCTTTATATGATATATTTTTCTCAAAGTCCAAAAAGCATTTTTAATTAGTGTTTAGAGCTTCCTTAAGGGGAAGGATTGTTCAAGAAATTGTGACTTCATAATTGTATGGAAATTCACGAACAAATGATATACTACATGTATTACAAAGGACACAGCTAGGTTAAGGACTCCCATATATATGTCAGCCTATGCAGAGGTTCGGGAAAGCTATTATGAAGTCACGTTAAAACAATACAAATAAATCTCGATGTATAAATACTATATTTTCTTTTTCATACACACTAAATACTTTTGTTTCTCATAAATATTATAAAGATAAATGGATGTGCAACTTATCTTGCCATAATAGCACTTAGCGTATGTAGAATGAAAGCCAGCTTGATCTCGCTGTACTTACTGAGATGACGTCATTTCTTAGTTTGACATGCAGCTTCTCTGTACTTGAGGCGTGGATCAAGCTTTTATCGTAGCTTGTAAAAACAAAAATAAATACGAAACACGCTCAGTCGGATCAAAAGAGAGACATATTCTGAAATATATTAATCCACATTTTATTGTCATACTAAATTGATAATGTGTAGACTTTATATAAAGCCCTAGGGAGCACATTCATACAGTAACGTGCTAGAATGAGGGGTCCAGCCCCTCGAAAATATCAAAAGTTCAACGATATCCGCTTCACTCTGAATTCTGAATTTTTAAACACGTGTAGCTATTATTCCTACTATTCTGAAAAGTGCAGGGAGCTGGTTGTGCATTGTTTATTTATTCCGTAATGTAGCATTATTCTAATGCGTATTACATTTTCGTCTGGAGTTTATCGAAAGACGGCTAAATTTGAAACAATTTCCAAGCATGAGGAAGTTGCTCCCAGCACTTTTCATGTTAAGGAATTTGCCTCAAAGAAAACAAAATAAATTTTATAGCAGAAAGATGCCCACATATCACTGAACTTTTACGATCTTTGTTGTAGTATATAAATGTTCTAATTTTAAACCTGTCACGTGACAAACAGCTGATGTAACCGATGTCGCTTTGGCCGAACTCAGCAGAGACCCGATTTATACAAATGCAAACACTACAATTCACATTTATCAAAACTAATGCTGTTGAAAAAAAATTATGAAAATTGTATTCATTTTCCCTGAATATATTAAGGCGTATATTTCATGGGCATCCTTAACCTAGCTGCGGAAAAACAGTGTTTATGTCAATAAGAACCTGTAATTCCCACCTGATGCCTGCTGTACATATGACATACTGGTACATGGTGGAATACCGGTAATTATCTGCACAGGTATTCGGTAGATTCAATTACACAACATTTTACTGTTTTATGTATAAATCTTTTAACAGTACTTGGCTGAGTAAACAGCAGGTAAGAAGATTCTATACATACAGAATTATGACATTAGCTGTTATCTGATTTTTCTTTTTCAGTTTCCAGGAATTGGGGATAGTATTTATGGAGAAGAGAGCAACAAGTTTACCAATGTTTTGGGGGAGTCCATTTCTGTCCGATTACTGAAGGATCAGGAAGCAACAGCTCAGCTCCTATGTGGGTATAGAATATCTCTTCTTGTCTCTGCTAAATGTATACATGTACTTGTACTCTCCTTTTTCGGTATTGGCATATACTAAGCTGATCTTTATGTCCCAAAGATTGAAATTTGTGGAGGTGGGAAAAGCTCTCTGTAATTGTCACTCTAGTTTTAGCTCATCTGAGGCTCAAGTAAGCTTTTCTGATCACTTTTTGTCCGGCGTCTGTATAGCTGTTTAGCTGTCTGTCTGTCTGTCTGTAAACTTTTCACATTTTCGAATTCTTCTCAAAAAAGCCAATTTCAGCCAAACTTTCCACAAAGTATCCTTGGGTGAAGGGGATTCAAGTTTGTTCAAATGATGGGCCATGCCCTTTCAAGAGGAGATAATTAGGAATTAGTGAAAAAATAATGGCATCATTAAAAAATCTTCTCAAGAACCACTGGGCCAGGAAATATGAAACTTATGTGGAAACATCCTCAGATAGTGTAGATTCAAGTTTCTTCAAATCATGACCCTGAGGGTAGGGTGGGGCAACAACGAGTGATTCAAGTTTTACATAGGAATACATAGGAAAATTCTTAAAAACTCTTCTTCTCAAGAACAGCAAAGCCATGATTGGTCATATTTATGTAGAAGCATCCTCAGGTAGTGTAGATTTAAGTTTGTTCAAATCATGACCCCCGGGGGTAGAGTGGGGTCACTATGGGGGATCAAAGTTTTACATAGAAATCTATAGGAAAATATCTTTAAAAATCTTCTTCTTAAGAACAGCAAATCCATGATTGGTTATATTTATATGGAAGCATTCTCATGTAGTGTTGATTGAAGTTTGTTCAAATAATGACCCCTTGGGGGTAGGGTGGGGCCACAATGGGGGATCAAAGATTTACATAGGAATATATAGGAAAAAATCTTTTTCTCAAGAACAGTAAAGCCTTGATTAGTCATATTGATATGGAGGCATCCTCAGGTAGTGTAGATTCATTTTTTTTTTTCAAATGAGGGCCCCTGGGGGTAAGGTGGGGCCACAATCAAATTTTTAAAAATGAATATATAGGAAAAAATCTATTGCTCAAGAACAGCAAAGCCATTTGTTGTATTGAAATGGAAGCATCATTAGGTAGTTTAAAATTCAAGTCCCCCTCCCCCTCCCCTCCCCCATGTAAACTTTTCAAAACTGAACTGATTTTTGCTTTTTTTCTATCCAATGTGCTCAGGTGAGCAATGTGGCCCATGGACCTCTTATTTTTTTTTTTTTTAAATTGTAGAAGTATTTTTCCTGCTACCATTGATTAAATACCATGCACTTTATCCCCCCCCCCCCCCCCCCCAAAAAAAGCAGTCCGATTTCTGAGTTTATTTTATGGAAATGCAATGTACAAGACAAATACACTATAGACAAGTGCAGCATGTATCAGATATCTGTATGTTATGAGTAGTCTGATATATATTTGTAATGTAGGTGAGTACTAGTTTAAATTGTTCCACTTGACAAGCAAATGATATATAATATCATAGGTTCAGTATTGGATGACAACATGGCCGCTGCTAGCACACTTGCCAGAGTGGCACATGAACAAGTCCTAGTGGACGTTGGACCGAGGCTAGAAGATGTTAGTGTAGACCTCGATCTGGATGACCTTGGAGTATGGATAGATCCAATAGGTAAGTAATGATTCCTATCAAGTACATAAATTAGATGTCATGATTAATGTACTTATAATTATAAGTCAGTGAATGGTACATGTCCTTCTTCTTAGGAAATACCATTTCAGAATCACTGCATGAATGTCCACTGTGTAGTAGAGAATGTACAGAAAAGGTCAGTTAAACCTTTATACTAGTGTGTGATCGAAGTAAGCTAAAGATTAATGATTAAGAAATGTCTTCTTGTTACTGTAAGCCTGTCTGGTAACTTTTCACATTTTTTACGTCCCCTTGACAACAACCAGTCAGATTTTAACTAAGCTAGGATAAAAGCATCTTTCATTGATGGGGATTTCATTTTCTTCAGGTTAAAGTGCCAAATTCTTTTCAGACTGGGGATATAGATAATAAAAGGATGGGATCTTTGTGAATTTTTTTCTAGAACTACCTGGCCAGAATCAAGGGAGTTGAAGTGAAAGCTACCTTAGAGCTTAAAATTTCTTTTTTTCCCCTTCAAATCTTCAGCCATTTATCATTTGTCCATTCAAGTGTATTTATACATTGTATAGCATAGATGTAAAATTGTTCAGTTCTAGAAGGAAGGTAACTACTATTTGGCTACAAAAACTTAAACCTAGCTTGCCCATAAATTTTGTTTGGTTAGAGCTTAGGCTTTCATATTTCATATGCGTATTCCTTGCGACAAAACCTTTCCTTGGGTATGAACATATTTGACCTCAACCTTGGAGTTTGACCAACTTTTGCAAAATTTTACCAAACCTTAACATTGGCCTTAATATTTGAATGGTTAGTGCTTAGGCATTTATATTTCACATGTGTATTCCTTGTAATAAGACTTTTCCTTGGCTACCAACATTTTTTACCCTTTGACCTTGACCTTGGAGTTTGACCTACTTTTTAAAAACTTTAACCTGGGCCAAAGCTTTTGAAAGGTTTGTGCTAGGGCTTTCATATTTCACATGAATATTCCTTTGTGATAAGACCTTCCCTTAGGTACCAGCATTTTTTACCTTTTGACTTTGACCTTGGAGTTTGACCTTCTTTTGAAAACTTAAACCTTGATCACTTTTGAACTGTTGGTGCTAGGGTCGTCATATTTCACTAGTCTATTCCTTATGACAAGACCTTTTATTGCATACCAACATTTTTGTCCATGACCTTGACCATGGAGTTTGACCTACTTTAACCTTGATTATAATTTCTGAATAATTGGTGCAAGGGCTATCATATTTCACATCTGTATTCCTTGTGACAAGTCCTTTCCTTTGGTTCCAACATTTTTGACCTCTTAACCTTGTAGTTACATTTAATAAGTCATCACTATATTTAAAATGTTAAGTAAATAAAATTCATAATACTTTTAAGATTCCTATGACATAAAACATGCAGTTTAATTAACATTTGTCTGTTATACTTGTATATACATGTACCTGTATATAGTCGGACCTCGGTATCTCAAACCACTTTTTCCTTAAATGTATTTTAACCTCAATATCTTGAACCCTCAGAAATCATGAAGTTACAGAAAAAATTGTTTTAAAATTGTTTTTTCATGTTAGATTTCATTGAACACTGTCCAAACCTTAACTTTTTATTACTGTGTTTAATGAGCATGGCTTACAGTACTATAAGTACTTTGATTCAGATTCAACAGCACAGTATATTAATGGCCAGTGTGGGGTTCTTGACAAAGCTGGTCTGATTTCTTGTGGCCTCCAGTGTGTGGTGGTGCTGATAGGGGTTTACAGTCAGTCCTCTGGTCTCCCCCTCATTGGAGTCTGTAACCGTCCATTTGCAGACAGTAATGGAGACAAGTATGTATATGTGTAACATCTTAAATAGCTCATTGTAAATTCATATAATAATTTTGGAGACAAAAGGTCTGCTACAGAAATTGGAGACTTTGCAGATCTTTTATTGAATTTTCTTTACCACCCTACTTTTCATTATGATTTTGTTATTCCAATATGGCAGCATCAATTTTCTTTTGCCTTACCTCTCTCATAAGCAGTATTTACTTTTAATTTACTGAAAAAATATAGTTTCACAATGCTGAGCTTTAATTGTAATTTCTGCTTGATATCATATTTTAACTTTTATGCACCCTCCAATTTAATTTGCAGGGAGAGAGGTGTTCATAGGGTTATGTTTAAATTGATTGAGTTTACCAGGGTAGTCACAAATTCTTACTTACAGACATTCTTGCTGTTATTTATCAAGTAAATTAAAAAACTAAGTCATAAAGAATAACAAAAATACAGGATATAATTATTTTTTATTTTAACATAGATGGAAAGGGGACCTGATGTGGGGTGTTGCAATCAATGAATGCAGAGTTTTCTCCCTTCCACATGAAAATACTTACAACTTCAACAAGCACAATCTGGCGGTCCTAATGAGTCAGAGTGAAAAGGCTGATGTTCAAAAGACTTTCCTGGCATCAGGGTCTGTCCATCATGCAGCTGGTGCAGGCTACAAGCTTCTCTGTGTAAATCAGGGTCTTGCAGATGCTTATGTTCTGTCTAAAAGCAGTACATTTTTCTGGGATGTTTGTGCACCACATGCAATCCTTCTTGCTCAGAAGGGTGGAGTCATTAGTTACAAGAGTTTATGTGACTTCAAAGATGATCCCTCATCTTGTGCAGAGTTAAGCTTGAACCATCAGATTGTTTATCACCATGACAACAATCGTGGTAGTGGAGCACAGAAATTTTGTAACCAGGAGGGCATTGTTGCTTATGGTTCGTTAGAGGCATTAAAAGCTATCATCCAAGCTGTTAGAGGTGTCTAATTTGACTGTGTTAACGTGTGCAATTTTATGTCGTTAGAATATATTTTTTAAAAAACTATATGTTACACTTATCTGTATTAATTTTTTTTTCTCTTAAATATGTCTCTTTGTATTTCTTGCTTTGTATGATAAACCATAAAGAATACTTTTTGATTTTTCAAAAATATGATTTTTTTAAATATATTATAATGTTGTACTATACAGCAAATTTGAAATTGTGGACAATTTGATATTCAGATTATATGTAAGAGTTAATGTTCTTAGTAGTCAAAAGTCCAGTCAACTTATTATGAGATGTCTAACTAATTGCAACACAATTTCTTTTATAAATAAACTTAATGCACAAAATAAATGTAATTAAAAAAAATCTAACAAGATCCTGTGAGGGGAAAGCATTAAATGGGGTTCATAATTTTTCTATGATTTTTTCTACAGGATATTTTTTATATAGGAATCAGGAAAGGGGCATAACTCTTGTTATTTTAGTAAATTTCAGTTAAAATTTTGGTGCATTTTTTTCTCTAACTTGAAGAAAGAGGAATTAATGAACTAAACCATCTAAACTCTATAATGAATTATAGATGTAGTAAAACCTTTTATACCCCAAAAAAGTTTTTTTTTCTTTTTTTTTTTTTTTTGCAGATGTTCAGGCTCACAGTCACCAGAGTGACTGTATGTTGCATTTCCTCACCTCATATATGATAATTAAGTTTAAGGGCAGAGGTCATCAAAAAGTAGGTCAAATTTTGTCTCTAAATCTTAAGGAATCTGATATGTTTTTTTTAAATTATATATAGTATTTATGTACTTAATGCAATGATATGAAATTTATTATTTAAACTCTGTATTTATGCACTATATCTTAAAAATGCTAAATTTCCAAATTCACAGTAAGTATGAAATTAAATTCAAAATATCTGTTTCAAATTTATATTATCTATGTGAAATAATCATCTGTTAAAGTGTATCAGAAAAGTTTAAATTAGTTAATGCTTTCATGAAAAACAAGGATTTTTTTTTTAATTGCATGCTTCAGCAAAACATTGGATGGATTTGCAGATTTATGCCAATAGCTATAATTAAATCATGCCAATATCATATTTTCCGCTCATTAAATTTTTAATGCAAATATTTTGTACATGTTAGATATAATTTATGGCAAAATAATTTACCGGTATGTTGCAGTTAGTTTGACATTGGGCTAATATTTTTGTTACACTGACTTGACTAAATGTGGTACATGTACATAAATTTTTTTTATCATAATCATTCATTGTTTTAGCTTACAGCTAGTAATTGATATAGAAGTAGTCTTAAATATGTAATTCTGCATATCAATTAAACAAGTGAACATTTTTTAATTAACATGATAAAGATAGGACAAATAATTTTTTTAATTATGATATAACTATTTGAGTGTCCTGTGGTCCAATTCATCTTTCTGTTACTAGTCAAAACAGCTCAGAAACATTTTTTTTTTATTTTTTCATTTTAATGTGATAGTCATGTGAAGTATTAACTTTTTTATAAACAGATTTTTTTTTCATTTGTATTTTTCATATTTTGTATTTGCATTTATACAAATTCAATAGTACAGTGTACTTGTATATATATTATACATCTACATGTGATGTACGTGTGATTTACATGTATTTGAATAGTAACATTTCATTGCAATATGTGTTATAGAAATAAATACTACTGTGTGCATTTCAGTACATGATTATAGGGAATATGAGTATTTGTCTATGTCTTTAATATATATATGTATAGCAAATGCTTATTTTTCCTTGAATTATTTGTGTAAATGCTTTAAGAGAATATTTCAGTTCTTCCCAGATGCCAATATTTACCATGTTTTTATTTGCTCCAGCAGTCAAAGACTAGACAAAGATAAAGTGTTTGTCTGTCTGGATAATTTTTTTCAAAATCCTACTCTTCAATTTAGTATGCAAGTAGATTTTAATTAACCATTATATATAGCAAAATTCCCACAAATTCATGTCCTTAATGGAATGCTAAAATTTCTAACTACAGTAACATATCTGGTTACTAATTGTTTCTTGAACCATGAAACCAAATCACCATGAACAAATATTTTTTCCCCCAACCATATAAAAATTCAACCCCCCAAAAATTCAGTTAATTTTCAGTATGTTCAGAATTGGTCCAGTATTTTTTTTTTTATGTATGTTATTATGTTTCACTATTTCATAAGTAAATGTATTTGATATATATATAGTGGGGAAAATGTAGTCACTTGCAAAATGTGATTGAAATTATTTATTGTAAAAAATATTCTCAGGGTTAATGTGTGTATTACATGTACATGTAAACAAATAATTATAAGCTAGCATATAATGTGCAACCACAAAGCTTGACATTACTTCTATGTAATCTGTAAGCGAAGTAATACTTGGAGATCAATTTAATCGTGATATGCCCCTATGAATTGTCAGTTTATGGGAATTCGATGTTTTGCACATGTATTGCTTGTTACATGCAGAAACTTTTAGCCATTTGAAAAATAACCTTTACCAGGGTTTTCCCCAGTTGATGTTCAATTTGACATTTGACCTTATTCTCAACATCACATTTTAACAATATATTGTTATATTGAGATGGAGCTCTGATTTTTAATATGTCACATCCTTTTAAGAATTTTAAGACCTTCAGACTCAGATACCTCTTTTAGATGTTGGTCTTTAGGCTCATATTAGACCCTAATACATTATCATATGTATTCCCAGCATATAACAGGGGTATGCTATTTATGTGATATTTTACATGAAGTTTTTTCCTGTACAATATATATACCAAGTGTTGCACTGAGGGTTTAGTCTGTATGTTGTAAAAAAAAATTAAAATATCAATATATTATGTTCAATGTGCATAGTTTTTTTGTTCCTTAAGGAAAAAAAAATAAGAAAAAGATGCATATATGCAGCTTATCTCTCTCTCTCTATAATTTATATAAATCTTCTGCTGCACTACATTCTCTATACCACGCGCTAAACTATCCAAGATCAATGTTTAAGTATAATTAACGTTATTATACGTATTTCTGGTGTTTTTTCACTTCATTATTTTTTAAAGAGAATAAAGTTTTATTTGAAATGAAACCCCTAGATTGCGTGAAAGAAGTTTGTTTTTCGGTCCACAGCCACAGTGGAAAAAACGCGACAATTATAACTCCGACAACGCCATAAAACCCTATTGTAAATATGTCGGGGGAAAGGCTGACCAAACGGGTTTAAAAGGCCTCAGATTAAATATTGATTGACCCGGCGGGGGTGCAGTGTGTATTGTAATATTCGGGACCCACCCATCTTGACACTTCTAGAAAAAAAAAAAAATCACAAAGTCACTCAACCGCGCAACAGAAAAAGAAACAGTGGATCTCGGTCAAATGAAAGGTACATTTTCTTTTATACATTTTCCACTTCAACTTTATTTCACATCAATGAAAAAAAGTTAAACGTGTAATCTTGGATCCCTAAGCTGTATTTAGTTTCACACAGCGGGATTATTGATGTGTCTGATAAACTGTGCGTTTATATTGGAATTATTCATTGCCACGACCCGATCCAATTAGCATGATTAGTCTTGCTTGATTGGGGGGCAAGTGTCAAAGGTCGTTAAATGTTGTAATTGCACGTGTATGAAATTCCCCGGTTGGAGAAATTTATGCAGAGAAATATTCTTTTTCTTTTCTTTTTGATTACGCGCCCGAGCGCGCATGCTATATACTTTGCCTTGCCGTGTGATGTGCGATGCGTACACTATCATGAACCCCCAAGGCTCGCTGAACGTGAACTTCGCCAAATCTGAGTTACCATGGGAACGAGATCATTTTGTAAGTACGATGTTTACCTGAATCTATTCTGAGCCTACATCCGGAGGGGAGCGGAGCGCTTGCTCAGTGTTTATTAATTTTACGTGTCAAACCGGGAAAGTTAACTGGTTAAAAAAGAGTAGGGGACAATTAACATTTTGTTAAAGGTAAGTTTGGTAAAAAAAATGCATGGAGGAAAAAAAAAACTTTAACGGTTAAACGGTAGTCTCTTTTACAAACCTCGTAATACTTAAAAGAAACTTAATATTTCTGCGGCGAGGGGCTGCTCTTATCTTTTAAAGTTTTTCAGAGAACTCTCATAGGGGTCAATGAATTTAATTAAAAGCTTTATTGGAAAGTGCAGCAGAGAAATGAATTGACCCTCGATTTAGAAAGACTTCAACTAACACAATAGATAGGTAATAAAATGTTTCTTCTTATCTGTTCCTTGGCTATCTCACAGTTTGAGCGCTGTTGATAAAGCCCATCTTGCGTAGTAAATCCATCGCAGGGTTTTGTGAGGGAAGGGGTCTTTGTTTAGATAGGGGGAACCGTTTGTCAGAATCCTTTGTTTACTCATGCGAAAAAACGCCGCTGGGTGCACACACACGCAGCAATGAGATGAAGAGGAGATAGTTGTCAATGATGTTTTTTTTTTTTTTTGTTGGAGAAAGGATCCTTGAATGCTTTGCTTTTTGTAAGGTTGGTCATAAAAACTCTTGTCATCTTTTGTCAGGGACTAAATGATCTTTAATTACTTGGTAATTAATCATTGTAATTAAAATTGACAACAAATACTGCAGCCAGAATTTGCATGTCTTTGTGTGTGAGAGAGAGAGAGGAACATATGAGGATGTCCCTCTCCAATTAGAGACAAGTGTGACAAACTTAAGGTCGTGGTCTCAATCTTCGAAGATTTAGTGTTGCCTGTGTTGGCCTTGGAACTTTTTCCTACCTCTTCCAGTATTCCAAAGATGTTTTTATGATGGAGTTGCATGACATGTAACACTGATTCTCTGCTCCAGAAAATAAACAGAGAGTCAGAAATGATTATATTGAATATAAATTATTTGAAAATCCTTAGTACATGTATGTTCAAAAGCATATAGGTAGATCAAGGATTTACATAAGAATGGGGTGGGGTTAAAAGCTTGTAAAAAATTTACAATAGAAACTGGGAATCTTTGTAGTTTATTAATAGCATCATTTTCATAAAGACTTTTTATATTTTAGAGGGATACTAAGCCTGATGTGTCCCTTCCAATCTACTAATGATATAAGGGTAATATGCCCCCCCCCCCCCCCCCTTCAAAAAAAAAGATGTGAAAGCTTAAACTTGTACTTTACTTTATTTTTAGATTTGTTGCCCCCCCCCCCCAAATCTCTATAAACCCTCGGTCTATCAAAACCTGTGCATTTCACAGCCATTTTAACTGAAAACTATTGGAAAAGTTTAAATGAGAAGTTATTGGAAGAGTTTAACTGAACTTTCTGATCCTCAGTAGTACTTAATCATTATTGATTAAATGTGTGATGTCACTGCTGTGGCAGTAATTGGTAAAATTTCCTTCGAATTTCTACATACTACTCACTTGATGCATTCCCGATAGGATAAGAAAATCATTGAATAATTAATTACGTATACCTTGTGTTATATAATACTCACCTGAATGTACTTTAACCTCTAAACCATAAATAATTAGGTGAGCATTACAAATACAAAGGTATCGGTTTACCATGTGTGTGCCAAATTTAGGAAAAAAAGAAATGTGAACAAAATAACCATTATAATGCACATATTTTAGAATCAGATCTTTTAAATGGTCAGTTAGTGGTGCCACTCCTTGAGATTAATCATATTTCTTAGTGCCAGGAATCCCCCCATTCAGATGTATTCTGACACACAAGTGCCTCTAGCTCCAGATAATGCTTGTTTGTAGGTGGCTATTGACCTGGGGCCTTCTGGCAACCATCAATCTTAAACCTCAGCTGTCTGAAAATTAATCACTGCCCCCCTCCTAAAGCGGCACCGTGTAATTCATGGACTGGAGGCATGGAATGGAGTTATGGAGTGGACTTTGGAGTGGAGTTTGGAGTCAAATTTTGGAGTCTAAGATTTTTTTTAAAAACATGAATGGAAAAAGATGTTCAAGAAATTGCATTAGTATGAAAGTCTTTAATTCTTTTTTGTACGTTTGTTGGCTGTTTCATGTCTTGTAACTAAACAGATTGACAATTCATAGGTACTATGACTTAATTAAAATTTGTAAGTTTCTGAAACTTAAGTAAGTATTTGTAACTTGAGAAAATTACATCAGTATTGAATAGACAGACATGATACTGACAAGATAACCCCGTTTTTAAAAAACGTTTGGAAACTGTTGAACATAATTAATCAACAGATATAGTCGGTCTTACTGATTATTTTAATACAGTTTAATTTGACTTGTTAACAAACCTGTCAAGAGCTATTAGGTTCAGTGTTTAAAGCAATTTATATGAATGCTATTTTTCAATATATACACTCACCTATTCATTACCTTCTATGTTAAATTAAAAAAAAATTATAATTAGTTTTAAAATAAGTTTTACACTTTATACCACTATTACATGTAAATGGTGTACTAAAAGGTTCACTCACTCCCTTACTTCCTTGCATTAAAAGCGACATACATGTAGCAACTACCATACTAATCTCTCTCCCATTTCCTTGGGTTGTCGCTACCTCACCCTCAGAAACAACAAATCAACTATGGGTTATATCACACTTCAAGTGAACGCATTGTGTTAATTGTTTTTACTCCAGTTTATCTTTATTAAACATTGAATAAATTTTTAGTTTTCTAATTGATAGTGAAAGCTCTTTAAAATTACACTGGCTCATACAGAAAGGCCAGAATCCTCACACCCAGTTTCACTGATTAAACTGTGAACGATGACCATTTAATTTTGGAGTATGTGATCTAGTGTTGAATTAACTTAACAGCATGCATACATTAAAATTATTGCATTCTTTAGGAGTTTATATAAATATTATCATCCCTTAACTAGCATCACAGAGCATTCCTTCTCATTAACTTCTAAATTGATAAAATTGTGAGTCACCAATGTATTTTATTCATACTACAGTATCATAATATTATTTAATTACTTAAGTAAATGTATATGAATTATTGATAATCTTTTTTTAAAGTCACATTTTAAGATACAAAATTGATGGTTGCAAATCTAAAGTAAATTATATAGAGAGAAAAATCATCGATCTTATTCTACAAACAACCTTGTAACAATACATTAACCTACATTGTTCAGCTGTGTGGTCAAAAACATACAAAAGTGTTAGCAGACATAACAAAGATGTGACAGAAAGCTAAAATTTAGTTCAAAGGGTTTTATCACCTTCCAATTATGTGTTGAAAGCTATGGTGATCATTATTTATGTAACAGTTAAATTTGATTAAAACATAGAATAAACTGTCACTGTTTTAGATAACACACTTTTTGACAATGAGAGTGAAATTAATACCCATGACCTTATCTGAAAGAATTTGCGAGAATTTGGTGCAGCCACTGTTTGTCCCACATAATCTGTCAAAAGGTATTTATACAAGAGTATGCAGGCAGTGTTAGGCGATTGTAACAGACCCATTTATTCACATCAGTATGCTATTCATTAAAGTACAATAATTATGGGTAATTCATTTTTGAGGAAAAAGATTAACTTCAAGAGTTGGACCAGAAGATTAATCTGTCTAAATAAAAATTAACATTAATATAATACCAATCCTGAGATTTAGGTAATAGATAATGTGATCTTCAACTGAATTGTTCTAACAATCAATATTTTAAATGAATATTTGTTAACATATCAACTCTTAGAACATAAGCTTTCAAATTTGACTGATACAATGTCTTTCTTAAGTATAGATTTGGTTGTGAAAAAAGCTCTAATTGATGTTACAAAGAAATTTGATTAATAATTATTATGAAAAGTGGTCAAAATTGATATTTATTTGTAATTCAAATAAACATTAAAAAAGCATACCACTAGTTTACTTTTATAATAATTTTTTATACCCCGCCATGAATATAGCCGGGCCATATAATGTTTGTCATGTCTGTCTTCCGTCCTTCTGTCGAGCTTTGCATTTAGGCTCAGTTCAAATCTCAGTTTCAAAGAAACTATTCAAGATATTTTTTGTATAACTTCATATGTTGATAGGTATTGGTGAGAGCTTTTCAATTGCGTAAACATTTTTTGACCTTGACCTTTCCTTTGACCTTTACGTTACTTTTCTTAAATTAGTGTTTAGTTCAGTTTTAAAGAAACCATTCAAGATAGTGTAATCAAACTTCATATGCTGATACATACTGATGTTACCATTTCAACTGCATCAACATTTTTTGACGTTGACCTTTCTTTTGATCTTGACCTCACTTTTCTTATAGATAGTGTTTAGCTCAGTTTTAAATAAAGAATTCAAGATATTTTCATCAAATTTCATATACTAATACATACTGATGAGAGCTATCAACTGCATCAACATTTTTTGACCATGACCTTTTCTTTGACTTTGACCTCACTTTTTTTAAATCAGTGTTTAGCTCAGTTTTAAATAAACCATTCAAGATATGTTTATCAAACTTAATATGCTGATACTTATTAGTGAGAGCTATTCAACTGCATCAAATCTTTTAACCTTGCACTTTCCTGTGACCTTGACCTCACTTTTCTTCAATTTGCATTTTGCTTAGTTTTAAAGAAACCGTTTAAGATATTTTTATGTAAGCTTATGCACTTAATACACTTATACACAATCTGGTGAGAATTTATCATTTTTATCCAATTTTTTAGATTTCAATTTCAATTTTAAAGAAACTTTTCAAGATATTCTCTTCAAACGTCATACACTAATACAAATTTTCATGTTGCATTACTATTATACACTGGACGGGGTATTCATGTCCTATGGACATATTTCTAGTTTTAAGTTACAGAAATATAAACTAAAATGTTCATCTACACTTTTCCAAGGAACACACACATCACTTCCAATAGCAACACGGGAATAAAATAAAACTGCAGAGTTGTCACCTGAAGAATTTTGTATCTTTATTCTATACGTCAGTACGACAAATTAAATCTGATATTTATACCAAGATTGAT